GGTGGCCGCGTGCCCCTCAGGGTGGCCGCGGCCACCTGCCGCTGGGCTTCGCCCACCCCCGGGCCCGGGGCCCCCGCCGCGCCCGGCGCCGACGGCCTAGCGCTCGCCCTGGAACCCGCCGGGGGCACAGCCAACTTCTTGGCCATGGTGGACAACCTGCAGGGGGACTCTGGCCGCGGCTACTACCTGGAGATGCTGATCGGGACCCCACCTCAGAAGGTAGGTCGGTGGGAGCTCGCTCTCTGGTCCTCCCGGACCTGACGACCCTCCCTTGCCCCCGGCTGCAGCCACGGGCTTTTCGAGGGCTGGTGGGGCCTCCCAGAGATGTCTCCGTGCGGCTTAGTGTCGCCCCCAAAGCAATAGCTGTCCCCGGAGAGAAGATCGGGGAACGCCGAGGGGCTCGGGTGGGCTGGGGAGTCGGGGCGCGCGTGCTTGGAAAGCGGAGAGAAGGCGGTCCCCGCCCGGGGCGCAGCTGAGGGGTGTGCCCAAGTGTTTCAGAACTTGTGAGCTCCCCTTCCGTGTGGCCGGCAGCGAGAGGAGACCTGCAACTTGCCGCTAACGTGGTTTCCTTCTTGCGAGCTACACTTCCTTCGCGCAAGACGGTGCAGTGGGCCTTGGGCGAAATGCTGTGATTACGGGGGGAAATCACCTTGTGTTAACCGCACCCCCTCCCATGCTGTCTCACTGCTAAAGAGGCTCCTGGCCAGCATCCAACGGCGCAGTACCCTTTTAAAAGGATTTATGCACGAGCTCAGCTAAAAGCAACCCCGTTCCAAGTGGCTCGCTTGCTGCTGGAGGAGGGACCAGGGTTTCCTCTGCTCCCGCTTTCCTCTCTCTGAGTTGGTTCGTCAGCTTCCTCTTCGATCGCCAGCCCCTCTGCAAGAGCGATGCATCCACACGCCTGTGTGGATAGTGTACAGTCAAGCTGCGGGGGAAAAAACTGGACCGAGCCCAGCTTCCGGGGACCAAGTGGTCTTCCCATGACAAAACAAAACTAAAATCAAACAGCCTTCTTTTTCTCTTACTCTGAGGTTTATTTATGAACACTTTTTGTAGCAAGAAACGAATGTTCCCAGTCTCGGTAATCTTGAAAGAAAGAAGAAGAAAGAAAAACATCCCAGGAGTTGATCTGGTCCCCCTCCTTTCCAACTGCCTAATCTAAGTGTGATCTGGGGTCACATTTTCTCATCAATTGAATACACCGTATGAAGATACTTTATTTTTAACATTGTCATTTGGGTTTTAATTCAGCTGTGATTCCCCCATAAATAGAACATACTCATGATTTTTGTATAATTCTAATTAAATTATTCAAGACTTTAAGAGAAAAGACGTGCCATGCTAACTCTTTTTAAAAAGGAAACTGCCGAAAAACTTCTATAGTTATTTAATTAGTTTAAAAAAAAAACCTTCAAAAGCACATTCTGCTCAAAACTTTGATTCTGCTTGCTTTTCATCTTGGTCGTGAGAATCCACGTGAGTGATCTTGGCTGTCCACAAGGGTAGATGGTCGCTGGAGGGCAGGCGGAGGGGATGAAATCATGGTCAGCTGAGGGAGCTTAGCTGGACCATAAGATGTTGGTCCTGGTCAAGCCACCACGTGAAAACATGTGCCTTGTGGTAAGAATGTTGTAAATTTTGTTTTTCACAAGATTTCAGAAGACATTGTGGAAGAAACACTTTTGGTGGCCTATGGATAATCTTTTGGAACAGGCCGCTAAATGACTTCCCATTTGGAATGTGTGCCTTGATTTAAAAAAAAAGAAAGAGAGAAGCTCATGTGTTTTTTGAGTGGAAGGAAATTTTCTCTACTAAAAGTAGACTTCGGCAGTTTGAGTGGCTGTAATAAAAGGATCCCGGATGCCCTTATTCCAGAGGAAAGGGGGAGGGGAAAAGACCTCAAGAAGGACTAAAAAAATACTTCTCTTGGACTCTCAAAAAAAATAAATAAATAAAGCTTTCATAAATAATATTTTGCCTTTGTAAATTAATTCAATGACCTTTACTTTAAAATGATAAAGTTTAATTAATTTAATTAACAGGAATGTATTGAGTACTTATGCTTATAGCTTTACCATAGTCAAGGAAATAATTCATTCAAAGTTATTTCTCAGTTAAAGATTAGCATGTTTCCAGAGAGGGCTGTTTGTTTGCAAAAAACAGATTTAACTTTTACATTTGATGGGTAAGATGCGTTATAACAAAATCCATGTGTACATACAGCCTTTCCAAACGCCTACCGTAAACTCAGGCGCTGGTGACTAGCTCATTAGGATTCACTTCTTGCCTGCCTTTCCCTGAAATGTCTCTGTCCACCAGCAGGGTGTCTGCAGCAGGCCACAGAGGGCAGTGATGGGGTGACTTATGGACCTGGAATGAGTTTTCCTGCTCTGTCAATGGTCAGGAGTCAGGCATTTATTCTCTGCTGATTCTCTGAAGCTTAAAATAAAAATTGCTTAGGTGGAGAGAAAAAATGGAATTGTAAATTGAAGCAATAAATAACCAAGAATTTTTCAAGAATTAAGTAATAGTCATAGATAGTGATTGAGGGGTGTGTGCATGACAAGCACCGTGCTGTGTGCTTTAGGTGTGCTTTTCCTGAGGATCTTCCCAACCACCCCCACCCGCCACCCCCATTGCCCCTTCTTATACGCATTTGGGGGGTGGGAAAACCGAAGACTGGAGAAGCTGCATGACTCACCAGGGCAACGGGGCAGGAAAGAGGAGGAGCCAGAAATGGAATCCAGGGAGCTGCGTTCCTGAACCAAGTTCTGAACCCACTGGGCAGATAATCTCTCCTTTCCCCTCACCTTCTGATTTCTTTTCTTTGGTTTTGGCTTCAAACTATCCTTTCCAGCCAGAGATCCCCTGAACCTTACATCCAAGATGCTAGGGGCTTTATATATGACTGCAACTGGGCTCCTCCCCATCCCCTGCCGCTCCCCCATCTCCTCCTCCTTTTAGGGCAGTGCTTCGTGAACAAGATGGATATTTGGATCCAGGTATGCATGGGAGAGAAACTGAGAGGAGGTTTGACAGGAACCAGAGCAGATCCTCCCTTGCCTATGGCCTATGGGAGAGCCAACTTTTGGAGGTGTGCTTGTCCCCTGAATGCTTTAATCAGAAATCGGGGGTCCATTGTTCTGCCCCATCTCTGCAAGGAGTCCCCGTCATCTGCCCAGAAGCCAATATGAGCACCGCAGGACCCTGCACTGGCAGGCAGGACCACGTTGGCATGGAGATGAGCACCGGGTTTGTGCAGGATCCCATTATATGACTTCTTTCTACCAGTAGAGAACCAGCATCTGCTTGAACTGTGCAATTTGGTCTTATTAATAATAATAATGATGTTCTAAAGTGATTATAATTACAGCAATTTCCATTATTTAAAAAAAAGAAAAAAGACTTTCATGCTAACATCATAAAGCCAACCGAAGATAGGAAAAGGTCTGCAGCTGTATACCTTGTAGTGGCTTCAGAAGTGCTTTTGGGGTTTCTGTTGAAAGATTTTCTGTCATCTCCACTAATATAGATAAAACAGACAGCAAAACTATTTTCATATTTAAACACCTGAATGGAGAGAGCTAACAAATTATCTTGTCGAATCACATTTTAATCATGATACTTTTGTTTGATTATCAGCCTCTTAGTACACAATTATTTGGAAGACTGTGGATTGAGATATGTACCAAGCATATACAATTTAAGAGTTTGTATTTTTCAAAATTGGCCATCCAGGGTCACCAAATTACATTAAGTGGACTGTAGGTGAGACTGGAAAAAGGAAGGTAATGGCCAACAAGAAGAAATTTGGTGGAACTCCTAAGGACAATGAAAAAAGAAAAGATTACTGAGGTTGAGGGAGCAAGGAAGTCCAAGCGAGCTTGCCACTGGCTTCTTGGAGGGAAAGGCGGCAGCTCCTGGGCTGTAGAGAAGGAATTCATCAAAGGCTCCACTGCTGTGAAGGGCTGTGGAGGGCAGGCCAAGGAATCCACTCAAAACAACGTGGGGGGACAGAAGTCTAAGAAGTACTTAATCGTAGTGTTAGCAGTGAACCTTTATTTCTTGCCTATTGGGTGTTGGGCACCGTGCTAAGCATTTTTCACAACTCACCTCATTTAATACTCACGACATCCTGTGAAGTGTGTTCGATTATTTGACTGAATTTTTAGATGGGGAAACTGAGGCTCAGAGAGGCTGAGTAATTTGTCCAAGGCCACCCCAGTGAGGGCAGAGCAGAGACATCAGTCCAGGTCTGCCCAGTTCCAAAGTCCACGTGCTTCCCCACTGCTCCTTATGTGCTGTGATGGTAGTCCCGGTAACTCTTTTGAAAGAATCACCTTCATTTTTCTGTGAATGACTTGGTGTAGTGGGAAGCATCTGGACTGATTATGGATCCTGGTGCTGTAGTGTTACGCATGTGACCGTGGGCAAGTGACGAACCTGCCTGTGCATTCCTTTCCTCTCCAGATGATGATCTTTTAAGTTCTATATGAGTTTCCCAAGTCTGCCCTCACAAATTAGCACAAACTGGGTGGTTTCAAACAGTAGAAATGCATTCTCTGACAGTTCTGGAGGCCAGATGTCCAAAATCAAGGTGTTGGCAGGAACCTGCTCCTTCCGAAGGCTCTAGGGGAGGTCCTTCCTTGCCTCTTAGTGTCTGGCGGTGGCCCGCGCTCCCTGGCCCATAGCAGCATCACTCCAGTCTCCGCCTCCATCTCCACATGACGTTCTTCCCTCTGTGAGTGTCTCCGTGTTCAAATTCTTCTCTTCTTATAAGGACACCAGTCATTGGATTAGAGACCACCCTAATCCAGCCTGACTTCCTAACTTCATTACATCTGCAAAGACTCACTTTCCAAATAAGGCCACATTCACGGGTACCAGGGGTTAGGACTTGAGCATGTATTTTTTTCAGAGATGCATTATAACCCACAAGTTCATTCTAAGTTTATCATCCTATGGATATTTTTTTCTTTTATTCTACCGTATCTTTTAATTACCAATAATTTCAATTTGGAACCTAGATGTAGTTCTCATTGAAGACCATAAGCACGTGACGGCTTTGGTGGTGTGTTACTATGGAGGCTGCAGGAAGAGCAGGCACTGAGGGATGGGGCAGGGGGAAGGGGAGGCTTTCTGCTCTTTTCTGTATGTCTGTATTGGTCCACACTAGACAGTAATTGCTTAAAAATTTTTAAATGTCTTTTGTGGTGTTG